CAATCTAAACAAGTCCTCTCCAATCTGACCTGTCAAAGCAGGGTTCAGGAACATTGGGGCATTATAGAACTGGCTATAATGCAAATTATTTTGGGAATGAAGTATTGATATACTCCATCCCCAAATTAAAATTAGACTCCAATAAATTTTATTCTTCATCACCTGACTAGCGTCACTATTATTTTATCGTATTTAGTTTGTTTATCCTTTCGTGCTTCGTTTAGTTCATAAGAAATGAATGATACATAGACTCCCACCGGCTGATACTCTCCATTGAACTTTCCGTCCCAAGGCTTTTTAGCATCATCGTGTATCAATTGACCATATCTATTGTATATTTTAAACTCTTTAAACTCTACTACTCCTATTACTCGGGGGTAAAAATAATCATTTATTCCATCTCCATCTGGAGTAAATATATTTACTGTATCCATTTGGTTTTTCAATGTCTTAAATCTAACGACTTCATTTTCTACACATGGCTCTTTTGGAGGCATATAATTGGTATCTGTCACCGTCATAACTAATACATATTCAATATCACCTGTATCTCTAGCAATAGCGATTGGATTCAAACTATCCTTAAATCGCATTTTATTTATAGTATCAGATGACGGAATCCACTTATACGTAATATTTGTGGCAGTAATTGCTAAATGTTCCCCAAATATTTTATTTTCTTCCCCTATGTAGATGATTTCTCTTTCAGGTTTAGCTCGTACTTGACCACATTTTGAATCAATAAAAATAGATCCTGTGTCTTTACATCCATTTGGCTTTATAGCTTCTACCACATAGAGCCCAGATACATTTGGTGCAGTATATATGACCTGGCTACGCTGACCAGAACTCCAGATATAACCTTTATACCTCTTACCTTCAGGATTGGCATCTAATGTTATCACCTCGTCACAGCAAACCGCTTGATTTTTACCTAAAAGGATTCTACCTGCTGAATCATTTTCTACGAATGCAGTAGCTTCCTTCTTACAACCGCTGATATCTCTTACTACTCTGTAAAGTCCTCGAGTATAAACATCTAGGGAAGCTAACTTTCGACCATCAGGATACCATGTATATTGAGCTTTAGAATCAAAAGGAATTGGTTGTAAGGTTATCTTCTGATTATTGCTCATGCATATAGTGTCATCGATCAATTTGAAGTCTGGATTAGATATAACAGATACTCTAGCAATATCTCTCATATGCATTAAGCAACCATATTGATCTCTCGGATTAACTAAATAATATATTCCTCCCTGATCCACTTTAATATAAGGTGTAGTTGCTCCAGTATTCCATAATGGATTGGATACATCATCTCCTTGATTATACATGATTAAAGCAGAATCCCCTTCACAAATAGTAAAGGAAGTATCCATCAAAGTAGCTGTATCCTTCTTGCGCAATACAATCCACTTGTCTAGTGAGGTATTTGTACATGCTCCTGAATCAATAATCATACTGTAGGCACCTGGAGTCGCTACTTTAAGGCTAAACCCAGTATCTATGATTTGTCCAGCGAATTTCCATCTTGGTTTCTTATATCCGACATTGCTAGGAATAGACAATAAGACTGAATCTCCTGGACATATAAGTGCTGCCGCGCCAAGATCTGGCATGGTTTTGAGTTTCTGAATATCAACCCAAATACTATCAATATTGTAGCAGTTTGGATTATTCGCACTTCTCACTTTTACGTAGTGATAACCTGGGTTTGGCGGTCTTATAATCTGCACTGGGCTTGTATAGTCCGCCTTTACCTTACCGAACTGAGTTGTGTCCCACTCATATGTATATAAATTTTGATTCATACCCAATACACCTGCAGATACAGTCACAGATTGACCTTGACAAGCTATCGCTATAGGTGGATCGAAGGTGATATATGGACGATCTACTATAGAACGCATCGTATCCCGAACACGACATACTACTTTACTTTTTCCATATGTGGTATCTACATAGTCTAATATAGTATAGTACTTTGTAGTAAATTGATTGTAAATAATAGGATTAGGGACTAATGTATTACTAATAAAATCAAATGGGGCCCAGAAGACTTCCCTTGGAATTGGGGGTGGTGTTCTGGTAGGCTTACATAAAGTGAACTCAATATTAGGTCTCACTAAATCTAAAGTACCAGTTAGAAAATTACATCCGAATTGTTCAGGCTGGGTACCAGCAGTTCGAGCGAACTGACTAAGGCATCTTCTCTTTGTCTGGGTAGTAGCTCTCACTCGTTCCGATCTATAGTCATAACCTGTAAAATTATCGAAACATATATCAATAATTAGACCTGATTTTCCGTCCCATGCATAAGGCTTCTGAAGCGTAAACCGATTCCATCCAAATACAGTTGTTAACTCATCTTGGTAAAATACTTCTTCAAAAGTAGCTAAGGACTCGAAATTATTATTTATAAAAGAATCTTGGGAATTAGGTGCGCATTTAATTCGTATGGCAAAGTTGAGCATCTTATTCGTATTGACAAAAGGTTGTACAATTTCAAATCCTATTTGCCGAATATATCCAGCTTTCATACCAGGCGTATTCTTTAATTCAGAAAATGGATATAAAATCTGGATTCTCTTATCCGTAATTAAAGTTCCGAGACCTCCAGCACCCCCACCAAAAGGTGAAGGGTTCACATTGCCAGCACCATCCGTAGATGTAGCATTTCCTAATCTAGGTGTAAAAATTGAATCCCGCACTCGACATGAATCTTGCATTGCATTTCCAGCTAGTGCATCCGTACTTTTTTTACTGCATTCTGCACCACCTCGTATCGGTCCGCAGTTTAGTATAAGAGGAATAGGCACTATAGATCTACGCTCGGTAGAGAGATGGACAGTATCTCCAGGACATTTTGCTGCTACCTTAGGGCTAATGGTTATTTTATAATTTGTATCTATCTGTGCAAAAACATAGGTAGAGTCTACGCATTTATCGTTCGCCATCTTTATTCTATAGTTCAGCGGCACCTGAGAAACGATTCTAGGCTCCTCCTCCTTATTACCAGGACCTCCAGCTTTTGAAATCAGGGTAGCAGGATTTTGATTCCAATCTAATTGAATATTCTCTAATAACTCAGCATATACAAATTTAATGTTATGTCGATAGTTTGAAGTAACAACTGCTCCATTTTCAAATGTGCTGGCACTAATACCATATCTTCCAATAATGGAAACATAGTTGGTCAAATTATCCAAATAAGCAGGAGAAGTAGCGACTGTACTATTACATGGTTTATTACAAGAAGTCCAAACTTCAAAATAAAGGTTTGTTTTTCCATCCCAAACGAAGTCTGCTATATCGAAGTCATTCCATCCTACAGAAAGCGTTTTATTAGAAACTGTATACATTTTTCGCATTGACAATGTATCTTCGAACTGGCCATTTTGTAAATCAAAACGATCTGTACAGCGCATCCATATTTCGATATTGTTATAAATATTCGGGTCATTGACTCCGTCTATGTAAAATGCTAATTCTTTTACAATGCCTGGTTTCATCCCTTTTTCACATAGTTCCGTGGCTTTATATAGCAATGCAGTGCGTCCGCGGTCTATTGTAATACTAGCCGTAAATATTTTTGGCGTAGGATTTGTATTAGACTGTCCACCTGGATAGGCAAAAGTTAGACTACTCCCTGGTTTTTCCTTTGAAAACTCTACCCTAGGACTGCATATAGATGTAGTTAAAAGAATCTTAGTCGTATTGATAGTATCTCCAGGGCATACATATTGCCTATCTGTCACGAATTGACCACGAGGTTTTATACCACTCATGGCTACTTCTACACTTACTGGATATATACAAGTGTCTTGTGAAATGACATAACATATATATGTATTGTCCTTTTTTAACAATCGTATATCAGCTGTATTGGATAGAAAGCTCGGAGTTACATCATACTCTGAGTTCAGTGACTGCCAATCAAACAAACTAGTCAACGCCTGACTGGCGGATAGACCTCCTACCTCTAGCTTTCCTTTCGTATCAAAGCAGCTATCTGGCAAACTAGACTGAATAGTAGGGGTTATAGTTGGTTTATTAATTAGTAATACTGTATCTCGATTATTACAGTACTGGTTCGTCACCATCTCTACTACATAATTTGAGGTAGGATCTGCAGGAGCAGGATCCCAGTTGTCAGCAGCTGGCTCAGAATTTTCTAGTATTCCAGTCGTAGTTGATGCTCCTTTATATGATCTCCATGATATAATAGCATCATTCTCTACAGATAAAGCATTAAGTACAATGGGAAGTGGACTTCCACAATGATATGCTCTTCTAGAAGAACCGTCCAAAGAAAATACCGCCTTCGATCCTTGAGGATTAAAGTTCAAATAGCCCCAATCAATGCGGTTTTTCTTATTTACTCGCACTCTATATACTACAGATCTACTCAAGATATATCCATTCACACAGTCTCGAATCTGGAAAATAACAGGGTATATACCCGGCGGTGTATTCGCTGGTATATTCCAGTTTAAAGTACCCACAGCGGTATCCATTGTAGGAAAGATATTATTTATATATTTCGAAGAGATGAATCCACCAGTATTTAATATACCACTCGATAGTTCCCCTGTAATCACAAGGGCAGCATTAGGTAAATCCGTCAATGAAAAAGCTCGAACACTAAACTTTACATTCGTGCCATCGCAGGCTTCTATCAAATCTGTCTTCCCTGGTACTAATGCGCAATTTTGGAAATTATGTGCAGAACCAGGAATAAAAAAAGAAGCCTCTGTTAATGAATTATCCGCTTCACACTCTTCATCTGCTATAACGGTTATCGTAAAATCTCTATATACTTTCCCAGCTATGACCCCTGACTTAGAATCCGTTTCGGTAATTTTAACAGCGGCTTTATATTTGCCCACCCCCGTCTTAGGTGCACCAGGCGGCTGCATAGTAATGTCGAGTTCACCCGTAAGTGGATCCATATCATAGGTAGAGGCTGGTCCTAATGGATTATTCTCATTATAGACTCCTGCAAAGTTTATGTACTCTATAGTTCTATCTGGCTGACCACAAGCTGGGTCACCGAAGCAAGCCGCCTTCATAGGGGTCGACTTCTCAAACGCCAAGGTGTGGCCATCATCGTCAAAATATCCCAAATTAAAAAGTCTTTGTCTATTCTCACAGATGAATATAAATGGGGTACCCGCTGAATTAGGCGTGGTATTTGCACAATATTTTTGAACAGGCGGACTTCCTTGAAAAAACCCACAAGGTATAGCATTACTATATTCGGCTTCTATGTAGAAATAAGACTCCGTGGCATCTTGACCAAATGTTCTTGTATTTATACCAGCTATTCTTACAGAAAAGGGGCTAGGAGGATTCATCCCACGAGGCAATCCAGCACCAGTCGGAGGTGGCTGTATCTGAACCAAAGCACATTGCTGAGAAGGAGTGCCACCATATTTCCGAGTATACCAATCCATAGTATTCACGTTAGCTGCATTACTATACATCATACCTATCACCCAGTCGTCTGCATTATAGGGAAGGACGACCGTATCGGTAAATACCTCGGTTCTATAACCGATTCGAGCAGAGGTTCCTGTCTCACACTTGGTGTCAAAACTATTATAAGGACATATAGGCGTAGCATATCTATCCGATAAATCTGCCCTAAACCAACACGCGAACTTTAAGAACTCACATTTAGACTTACTGTAAATCATACCTATCATAGTATCTGTTACCGTAGGAAAAGTATATGACGTTCCAGGATTGGCCTCGCAGTCACGATAGTAAATCAGGCGTATTTCTACAGTGTCTCTAGTACTAGGGTCTGTTTTAGGAGCTATATTCAGTGGGCGAACTTTAAGCTCTGCACCTGCGAGAAACAAGGAAGTTTTACGTGGGCCAGTACCCCAGCCTCCTCCTCCTCCGCCGCCGCCCATGGCGAAAAGTCCGGAAAATGAGCTGAGACAGAGTAGCAGCAAGATGATTTTACAATTGATTTTTTTCATAGGGTTTGTTTTAAGGTTAACGGGATGCGTTTAGCGTTGCGAAAAGGATTCGCGCGTTTTAGTATAGAATTTTGTTGCAATTTCATAAAATTACATGACATTATTGATGCGTAAAGATACACAAAAAATCGTTTTCTCTTAAAAATAATTAACGGAATGTTGGGTTCAATTTGTTAATTTACTGTAATTCTATCCTTTAGAGATACAACCAACGCATTCAAATTCAAAGTTAACTCCCTTTTAGATTATTAACAAAGCTCGTTCCTTGGATTCATTATAAAATAAAAAAAATCCTGTACATTTGCTCATATATAATTCCATTATTTTAATATTTATCAACTTATGAAATTTGCTCAACGTCACATCGGTATTTCTCCTAATGAATTGAATGAACTCTTAGATGAAATCAAGGTAAAAAATATAGATGAACTCATATCAGAAACTGTGCCCGCAAAGCTTCTCAGTTCGGAAAGACTAAAAATCGGGGAGGCAATGTCTGAGCAGGAATATCTAATTCATATAAAGGAACTAGGGAAAAAAAACAAGGTATTTAAAACCTATATTGGCATGGGTTATAACGATACCATTACTCCATCTGTAATTTTACGAAATATTTTTGAAAATCCAGGATGGTATACCCAATATACCCCTTATCAGGCAGAAATAGCTCAAGGCAGATTAGAATCACTTCTCAACTACCAGACCATGATCATAGACCTAACTGGTCTTCCGATAGCCAATGCATCGCTTTTAGATGAATCTACTGCAGGTGGAGAGGTTATGACTATGTTTCATGCAGCTAAAAACAAAACGACCACTACGAGTAATATCTTTTTTGTGGACGACTCTGTATTTCCGCAAACTAAGGCAGTAATAAAAACTAAGGCAGAACTACTCGGAATAAAAATTGAAGAAGGTGATGCTCTTACTCATTCATTCAACGAAAATTACTTTGGGGTTTTGGTTCAAAATCCAAGACTGAATGGTGATTTAAAAGATTATACCTATAAATTTACCGAATTAAAAGCCAAAGGAATTTATACGGCAGTGGTGGCAGATATTATGTCATTAACCCTGGTCAAATCACCTGGAGAGATGGGCGCAGACTGCGCGATAGGAAGCTCTCAGCGATTTGGAGTGCCTATTGGCTTTGGTGGTCCTTATGCGGCTTTCTTTGCTACTACAGAAGAATTTAAACGCAGTATCCCTGGCAGAATCATAGGCGTATCTAAAGACCGTAGAGGTAAAAACGCACTTAGAATGGCTCTACAAACTAGAGAGCAGCATATTCGAAGAGAAAAAGCTACCTCTAACATTTGTACCGCACAGGCTTTATTGTCCAATATGGCTGCCATGTATGCCATTTATCATGGTCCCGAAAATCTAAAAGCCATAGCTAAAAAAATCCATTCACAAGCTAGTGCAGTAAAAACTGTAGCCTCAGAATTAGGAATTGAGGTGACGAATCAATCTGCTATTTTTGATACTATTTCATTTAGCGTGAAGGATAGTGCCAAGCTGAAAGCCATAGCTGAGCGAAATGAAATAAATTTCTATTTTGAAGGAGAAATCGTTCGAATTTCAATCCATGAAAATACTAGCCAAAAGGACCTGCATAGGATTATTCAAGTATTAGAAGAATTTACAGGAAAGAAAGCAACTAGTAGTTATTCAGAAGTGAATATAGATAGTCTATTCGCTAGAGAATCTCAAATACTCACGCACCCTATCTTCAACACACACCATACAGAAACTAAAATGATGCGCTATATCAAGAGTCTAGAGGATAAGGATTTGTCTTTGACTAAATCCATGATTCCATTGGGTAGCTGCACTATGAAACTCAATGCTGCTACAGAATTGATGCCGCTCAGTTGGGAGTATTTCAGTTCTATCCATCCATTCGTACCATGTGCCGAACTAGGTATGATACAAATATTTCTATGTCCCTGACCTAAAGATTTTTGATATTACTTCCCTTCAGCCTAATTCTGGTGCTCAAGGCGAATACGCTGGTCTCATGGTCATAAGAGATTATCAAAAATCTTTAGGTCAGGGACATAGAAATATTTGTATCATACCTAGTTCGGCACATGGTACGAATCCAGCGAGCGCCGTTTTAGCAGGTTTGCATGTAGTCGTCTCCCCTGCTGATGAAAATGGAAACATCAATTTGGCTGACTTAAAAGCAAAGGCTGAAGAGCATAAGGACAATCTTTGTGCACTCATGGTGACCTACCCTTCTACGCATGGCATCTTCGAAGAAAGCATCATGGAAGTATGTAAAATCATACACGACAACGGCGGACAAGTATATATGGATGGAGCGAATATGAATGCCCAAGTAGGCATCACTAGTCCGGGATTTATCGGAGCAGATGTTTGTCATTTAAACTTGCATAAAACATTTGCCATCCCTCATGGTGGTGGTGGCCCAGGAGTAGGTCCAATTTGCGTAGCTAGTCATTTAGCACCATTTTTACCTACACACCCCGTAGTAAAAACTGGAGGTGAACAAGCCTCTCAAACGATATCAGCAGCTCCGTATGGCTCTGCAAGTATTTGTTTGATTTCGTATGCCTATATCAAAATGCTAGGCTCAGAAGGATTGAGACAAGCGACAGAATATGCCATTCTCAATGCTAACTATATTAAAACCAAGCTGGAGAAGCATTATGAAATACTCTATACAGGTGATCATGGTAGAGTTGCCCATGAATTGATTGTAGACTTTAGACCATTTAAACATACGCTAAATGTAGAGGTAGAAGATGTGGCTAAAAGGCTAATGGACTACGGACTACATGCACCTACCGTTTCTTTCCCAGTAGCGGGTACACTTATGATAGAGCCTACAGAGAGTGAAGATAAGAAAGAGTTGGACAGATTAATAGATGCCTTGATAGCAATTCGTGGTGAAATAGCAGATATTGAAAATGGAGTTTATCCAAAGGACAATAACCCATTGAAAAATGCACCCCATACAGCTGAAGAAGCACTTTGTGACGAATGGAAATTCCCGTATACTAGAGAGAAAGCACTTTATCCTGTAGAAGGAATGAAGAATGGAAAATTCTGGGTAAGTGTAAGTAAAGTAGATAGCAGCTATGGTGATCGAAACCTAGTTTGTAGTTGTCTACCAATTGAAAATTATATTTAGAAAATAATTCTTATGCCCAAAATAAGCAAAAAAGGTGAGCTAATGCCACCCAGTCCGATAAGAAAATTAGTTCCTTTCGCTACAGAAGCAAAAAAGCAAGGGGTTAAGGTCATACATCTCAATATAGGGCAGCCAGATATTGAGACGCCTCAGGTCGTGCGAGATGCTATAAAAAATTTCGATTATAAAGTACTCTCATATCTCAATAGCGAAGGAAGTGAAAAATATAGACTCAAACTAGTAGATTATTATACATCTGTAGGAGCCAATATCACAGCTTCTGAAATCATAGAAACTACAGGTGGTAGTGAAGCTTTGCTTTTTGGATTTATGTCTGTGATGGATCCCGATGATGAAATCATCATTCCAGAACCTTTCTATGCCAATTACAATGGATTCGCAACTGCTGGCAATATAAAGGTAGTGCCAATCACATCCTCGATTTCTAATGGATTTGCACTACCAAGTATCGATGAGTTTGAAAAAAAAATCACGTCTAAAACCAAGGCAATATTAATTTGTAATCCCAATAATCCTACCGGATATTTATATTCAAAAGAAGAATTGGATTTATTGAAGAAAATTGTCCTTAAACATGACTTGTTCTTATTTGCTGACGAGGTCTATCGAGAATTTGTCTATGATGGCAAGACCCATACTTCCATCTTATCTATGCCCGAACTAGCAGATCATGCAATAGTAGTAGATAGTATCTCCAAACGATACTCTGCTTGCGGAGCACGATTAGGTGCATTAATCACGAAAAACAAGGATGTTCTAGCTACTGTTTTGAAATTTGCCCAAGCCCGCCTGAGCAGTCCTACCTACAGTGAAGTAGCAGCAGAGGCGGCACTAGAAACGCCTGCTAGCTATTTTGAAGCCGTCAATAAGGAATATATTTCTCGCAGAAATCTTTTAGTGGATTTACTAAATAAAATAGATGGCGTACAATGTCCACTGCCAGGAGGTGCATTCTATGCTATGGCCCAGCTGCCAGTAAAAGATACTGATCATTTTTGCCAATGGATGTTGGAGAAATTTTCATATAACGGCTCAACCGTCATGATGGCTCCTGCCGCAGGATTTTATGCCACCAAAGGGCTAGGAAAAAATGAAGTGAGAATAGCTTATGTCTTAGAATTATCTGAAATCACTGAAGCTGTGGAATGCCTTAAACACGGGATAGAGGAATATAATAAAGAACAAGGGATAGCTAATAACTAATAGTAAATTATTATCGATAAATAGTATGCTAAAAAAACTCGTTGCCCTTTTAATAATTTTACTAACTAATCTATCTGTTTTTGCGCAATGTGCTATGTGTAAAGCTGGAGCAGAACAGTCCCTAGAAAGAGGCTCTACTGCGGTTCATTGGATAAATTATGCTATCATTTTTTTAATGAGTATTCCCTTAATTCTCATTTTTAGCTTATATATGCTTCACAAACATAATCAAAAGAAAAACCAAAACGAAATATCCTGATCGACTTTTTCAAATAAGAGAATTAATAAGCACGTTATTGTGTCATAAATAAGGATTCTTATCTAAATCACGTACGAATAAAATTAAAGAAACCGCGCAATTAAAATTCGATTCCATTGCTAAAGATCTTATCTATACTTCTAATTTCTATATTTTTTCAGTCAACAGAAAACAAAAAATCTAATGAATGGGAGACGAAAATAAATGAACTTAATTACCAAGTATTAGTAAGAGAGTCTGATATTTCTGACATTAAGGAGATTAAAGTTGTTCATAAATTTAAAGGCAATTTTAAAAAATTGATGAGAGCGCTAAATGATATTGAAACCAATAAAAAACTCTTTAACAGCTGCACAGAAGCAAGACTATTGAAACAAATTGATGCACACACTAGCTATCAATATTTTTACTTCAAAATGCCCCTGACCATTTCTGATCGAGATATTATCTCTAAGGTCACTATAAAAAATACCGACTCTACATACTCACTTGTAAGCATTGCTGCTGAAAGTAATATGACTGTATTTAAATCAAATGTCATACGTATTACACAAGCCAATACTTCTTGGCAATTTAAAAAAACACGCTCAGGTGATATCCATATGGAATATTATGCATCAGCTGACCCGAAAGGTAAAATTCCTAAATGGCTTGTAAATGCATTTGCCATTCGAGAAGCAAGAATCAGTATAGATAAATTGAAGAAAATGATTCAATAGCTAGATATTACTATTTGTCTTATAGAGAATTAGGCTAAATTTGAAAACTAGCTTCCTTTTTTTATTTAAAAAATACCGATAGAAAATCGGTATTTTAGAATGGTAGTAAACCATAGGAGAATCCCTGTCAGCTTGACGCAGTCAAACTGAAAACTCCTTCAAACCAAAAACACCTTACAAAAAATTATTTTTCCGTAACCAATTATTGCCAGCTGTTATAAACGGCATATTGAATTGCCGTTTATACATTGCAAATTTATTTTTAGGATTGTTATCTATTAATGAGTCTTTTCCGTATTTTTACCCGAATCAATTTTTAATATTTAGTATATTGATATGCTCATTAATCAGTCTATAGTTTCTGAAATCAAATCCATTATAGCTCTGTCGAGAGAAAATGCTATACGCAAAGTTGACCATGAGCGAACATTGATGTATTGGCAAATTGGGCAGCGAATCTTTGAAGAAGAACAATTGGGTAAGGATAGAGCCGAATATGGTAAATTTTTGATTAGCTTTGTATCTCAAGAATTAGTGGCGGAGTATGGCTCAGGGTTTTCTAAGCGATACCTTGAAATAATGAGACAGTTTTATCGCACTTTCCCAATTGCGAACGCACTGAGTTCGCAATTGAGTTGGACTCAATATAGACAGTTAATTCGATTAGATTCAGATGATAAAAGAGAATTTTATATAGCTGAAACAAAAAAAAATAATTGGACAGTCAGTCAGCTTGAAAGACAAATACATACAAACCTATATGAAAGACTTCTCTTAAGTAATGATAAAGAATCTATTCTAGCCGTAGCCAAAAATGAGAAACTACCAAGCGATGCTAAAGAAATAGTCAAAGACCCGATGTATCTGGAATTTTTGGGCTTAAAAAGAGAGTCAGCTTATTACGAAAGAGATGTAGAGACTGCTATCATTACCCATTTACAGGACTTTTTATTAGAATTAGGCAATGGATTCTCCTTTGTAGCTCGTCAGAAACGCATACATATTGACGGAGACGAGTTTTTCATTGATTTAGTATTCTACAATAGACTTCTACAATGTTTCGTCTTAATCGAGCTAAAAACAGGCAAATTGACCCACCAAGATTTAGGACAATTGCAGATGTATGTCAATTATTACGATAGAATAGAGAAAGTAGAGTTTGAAAAACCTACCATTGGCATTCTACTTTGTGCTGAAAAGAACAATTCCGTAGTCAAAATCACACTACCTGAAAATTCTAATATAATCGCCTCCGAATATCAAGTCTATATACCTTCAGAGAAAGTATTGATAGCTGAAATAGAGAAAGAAATGGAAAGTTTTGAGAATAAACTAACAGAAGACTATGACCAATAAAAACTTTCAACCAGCAACCCTAGAAACCAAAAAAGAACAAATCCAATCCAAAATTACACAATACGAAGACCGTATCAATGAACAAGTATATCAGCTATATGGGCTAACGGAAGAGGAAATAAAAATTATTGAAAATGGATAGTAAGCTAGATATAGAATTTTTAATTAATACTTGTGCAATAGTAGAAAAATCTCTGTTAACAAAAGATTTAGATACTGTCAATATCTATTTTCATAATTCATTGATACGTATAAATAGAATAATGAGTTCTATCTATACACTAAATGAAGACCCAATCAAAAATAAGTATGCAATCTATATTCTCTTGAGACCATTAGTATTGGACTGTCTATATTTTAATTATCTTTTAAATATAGAACTAAGAGGCAATAAAAAGGATAAAATAAAAATGTAGTGAAAAATATTAAGATTTTAGATAAAATCAAGCAAGAAGAAATAGAGAGAAATTTCAAAAAAATATTTGATTTTGCAATTGAGTGTATTCCTAACAACTTTAGTAGCATTCAGTTTTATAAGATTAACCCTGAATTTGCAAATATGTCTGCAAAGTCGATTGAAAGTAAGTTTAAAAGCGAAAATGAATATACAGAAATGATGTTAGGAATATATAACTTATTTTCTAAGTATGACCACAATACAGGTGTCGGTTATTTCGACTTTCTTAACGCAAAAGACTTTGTTAAACCAATAGAAAATTGTATTGGTTTGCTAAGAAAAGGATATATGAATTTGTTATACATAATTGACTTGCAAAATGACTTAATTGATATAAGAGATATTTATATGACAGAACTTAAAATGAAGTAAATAAATGAAAGAAAATAAATGGATTTGGGGATTTATAGGATTAGCATTTTGTATTAGATTCAAAGCATTTATAGGAAAATGGATTTATGGTATTTGCAACCCTATCCTTTAGGTATACAGACAAATCCCCACCCCTAGTTAGGATTTAAGAATGCCCCCCTATCAATCTTTGATAAGATATTTATTTTTTCGGAAACAAAACTTCATAAAAAAATAGATTTAGTTGGATTGAAAACAAGTATTTTGTTACTATCTCGTTGCTCCTAAAATAAAAAAGCCTTCACTATCAATATGATGCGAAGGCTAATTAGTACACCGTAGGAGAATCGAACTCCTCTTGCCAGGATGAAAACCTGAAGTCCTAACCGATAGACGAACGGTGCTTTTGCAAAAAATGCGAGTGCAAAGATAATAAATTAATTTTTAGATGCAAGAATTTATTCTTGATATTTTTTCCAGAGAATTATGGACAAGATTAGGTAAAGAAAATTGGGCAGCCAGGCAGCTACCAGAGGGGTCAAGCTAGCCTTTAGCGCAAAGGAATCAGAAAACTTAACTATCACCTCATAAACTGACC